ATTGAGCTGCTGGTAAACTCTTCCCTATGACTTAATAGATGTTAAAAAATAAATGAAAGACCTCTGGAGTAGAAAAATGTTTCTCTTCATTGAGTACAAGTATGGTATCCTCTCCCCCAAAGAAATATTTAAAGCAAATTTTAATTGTGTCCTAATTCATTGTATAATGTATTTACTATTCAAATTTAATGTATTTCTTTCCAAAAGACATGAGGTAGCTTATTGTGCAAGAAAATTACATAATTGGTTAGAAAACGGCCAGATATTATTTATGACATTTTTGTACTGGTTTAAAAACAATCCGTCTAAGTCATCACAGATGAAATAAAATAATTCACACATAAAAAATGTAGAAGCAAATTCTTTTATAAGAAAAAGTATTTGTAACACAGCAGGTAAGATAAAAACTAGATATAAAACAGTATGTTTTTCTCCTAAAGGGAAAAAAGTATATACATACAGTGACACATAGACTGAGAGAAAAATAAATATATAAATATCTGCATCTATCTTCCTATGCAACATTCACAATTTACTTTTGTTTATATATCTGCCTTTTAAATTTTCAACGAATATAAAATTGATGTGATAAAAAAAGTTTTCCAAAAAAAGAATTGTTTTTCAAAATTTGCCTACAAACATTTTAAAGGTGGATATCATGCTTTTGTTGACAGAACAATTATAAAAATCCAAGTGCAATTCACTATGTTACTCTGTAATACGTCTTGTTTCTCATCCAGCCTTTTTTCCCAATTTTCCCATCTTTTGCTACAGAGAGTTAGTTACTTCAAACTATATACTTCTAAACAGTTGGTGTGGTCTGGCTCTGTCCCCTCCCAAATTTCACCTTGAATTGTAATAATCCCCATGTGTCAAGGGTGGGGCCAGGTGGAGATAACTGAATCATGGGGGTGGTTTCCCTATAAGTCTCACGAGATCTGATGGTTTTATAAATGAGAGTTCCCCTGCACAAGCTGTCTTGCCTGTCACCGTGTAAGATGAGACTTTATTTCTCATTCGCCTTCCACCAAGATTGTGAGGCCTCCATGTGGAACTGTGAGTCAATGAAACCTCTTTCCTTCATAAATTACCCAGTCTTGGGTTTGTCTTTATTAGCAGCATGTGAACAGATGAATACAATAGTACACCACAACATCTCTTTTCCTTCCAGGAGCTACTGGCTCCCTCTCACTTTCTCTGTTCTTAATACTGGCACCTCTCTGCACCCAGGCTGTATTTCCTCTCTGCTGTCTCTCATTGATTTTAAAAAATCAGTCATCTTCGTCAAATATTCCTTCAAAGTGACTCTATCTTGCCATTCTCCATTCCCCTGCTGCCACAACCCTAAGGCTGCCTAATTTGTGGCCCTGATGCACCAATCAAATCTCCCACCCACCTCCTCATCAAAAAACCTGGAATGCTTCCTACTGTTTAGTGGAATGCCAAACTCCCAATTACCTTTCTTTTCTGTCACCCACACCTTGTGATACTTTGCATACTTTGAAACACAGAGTTGTATCTAAATAAACATTTAAAGGATGAACAAGACTCCTTCAACTGGAGAGGTTGTTTTCTCCCTGACTGATCTTCAGGCTTTCCCTCGAATGTGTTCTTCTCCCACTTGTCCCTGAAACTCCCCAAGTTCTCTCTCCTTGGGGCCTTCCCTGACCACTACCCACAACAGGGGGCTGCTCCCTCCTTCCACCTCCTATAGCATTTGCTTTAACCATAACACGGATCCTGGAAATATTCTGACTTACATTCTTTGTTACCTCCTGCGTGCCTATCAATCTGGTCTATATAAAATCTGAGCTCCTTTAAGATGTGGTCATTGTTATATACCTCCCACTCATGATGTTTTATTTAAACTGTAAGCAGTCAATATACACCTATTTAAACTAACAGGAAGCAATACCAAAAGCACTAAGCAAACAGAAAAATGCATGTCAACATTTAGGCTAGAAACAAAATTGACTTCCTAGACTTTAACTTCTACATGTAGATGAAACATTACCTGCCACTTGCCACAAGAACATTCTGCATAAGAAAACATCTGTCGTATGCCTTAGGCCGTCATGTTTTATACCAAGTCCTGTCCTGACTACCACCACCCAGGACCCTGTGCCCTGAGCCAGCCCAAGTGTTTAGCCATTCCCTCCATATATGTGGCACTCTGACAGCTCTTTACTTTGTATGTGTTGTTTCCTTTGCCTAAAAAGGTCTTCCTTTGCCAACAAACCCTTCTCTACCTTCTCCATCTGGTAAATACATACTCATCTTCAAGCACAGTTCAAATAATACCACCTCTCCATAACTTAATGACTCTCCATAGAAAGATATAATTAGTCTACATCATCCTCCTGCTAATTAATGCTGTACAATACTTATCAATCATATCATGGCTTTTGGGGGTTTTTTACACTTACATACAGTTCTTACTCTGATATTTATGGACAGAAGCCATGATGTATGCACTGATATATACCCAAATCCATGGCACTGTACCTAGGTACCTTCAAAAAAAACCGTGGAACTGATTCTAAATTCTCAAACAAATGAAAAGGCCAGAATTGGGCTCATTTTAATCCTCCAGGAACCCTCTTTCCTTATATGGCTCAGTTCCACTGGCTGTCGCTGATCCTCAGCACTGCCAACATTCCTGCTGTCAGTACACCTAGTGCGAAGGGTGCAATGAAGTTCCCTTCCATCTCCCAAGCTACAGAAGAATTCTCTCTTTACATAGGTTAGCAGAGAGAAGGCTGGGATACTTACATGGAATTTTTACTAAGAAGAAAGTCAAGTCAGGAAAAAGTCACAGAAAATCAGCAAAGTAGACAGGTTTACAGAATGCTTACTGCTGATCCATAATTAACTAAAAAGCTTGGCCTGGCACAGTCCCTGCATTGCTGTTTCCCATTCTTCCCCTCACCACAATACCATCTGTGATAAATGGTAAACCTGATATCCTTAGCATGCTAAGCCAAGCCTGGATAGTACCACACTATCCAGGCCTGGTGAGATCACCAGAACTTTTGCCAGATCCACAATCCCTTCCACAAACTGCTGACTCCTATTTTCTTCAGGTATGGTCCCCCCAATGTCATCTCTTAGGACTCAAGCCAAATAAACCCTTATTCAAAGGTCACATAGTCCCAGTCACCCCAAGGGAAGAGAGTACTTCCCTATCTGTCCCAAAGATTCCACCCCAGCCTTCAAGTGCACTTAAACAGAAACACATACAGGTGTCTCTCCAGAACTCTGCATGGAATTCTCACCCTCTCTGGGTCTACCTGATCAATTAGACTCTCTCCCAGTAGAGTCCTGCCTGCTGCTGAAAGTGAATGTAGAAACTGACAAAGACAGGTTGTTCCAAACTAAGGTCTCAGCCTAGCTTCTCCAGGGATCATATGGCCTCAAAAGGTAGACACAGCCTTTAAGTGGAGTCTGATCAATGGATCACACCAACCAGTGAGATTCTAAGATGGACCATCTATTGAGATACCCTCTAAGGTGTTCCCACTTCCTTTTAGAAGGATGCCTGCCACTCTTGCTTGCTTAGAAAACAGAAGTAACGGGCCAGGCACAGTGGCTCACACCTGTAATCCCAGCATTTTGGGAGGCCGAGGAGGGTGGATCACGAGGTCAAGAGATGGAGGTGAAACACCGTCTCTACTAAAAATACAAAAAATTAGCTGGGCATGGTGGCGCGCGCCTGTAATCCCAGCTACTCAGGAGGCTGAGGAAGGAGAATTGCCCGAACCCAGGAGGCAGAGGTTGTGGTGAGCCGAGATCGCGCCATTGCACTCCAGCCTGGATAACAAGAGCAAAACTCCGTATCAAAAAAAAAAAGCAAAAAAAAGAAAACAAAAGTAACACATAGGTCCTGAGTTCAAAGATCAATGATGACTTTACCAGCTTAAGTTAATGAGCTACTTTCCATTTTTCTGGGCTCTGTGGCACCCCATTTAGCAGCTCTAATACAAGTGGTCTTTCAGATTTCTATCACTGGAGTTTTACAGTATCAACAGACCTTAAACACACATACAAAGAACTTCATTCTCTCCTACAGAGAATGGGACCACCTCATTCCAACCACGGTGGTCCCAATATGTATAACAATAGACATCAGCTTAGGTAAGGAACTAATGCTTTTCTGTTTTCTGGACTTTCATGCTCCAGAATCCTTTCCCACTTTATAAACTCTATACTATATTGTGGCCAGATGCAGTGGCTCATGCCTGTAATCCCAGAACTTTAGGAGGCCAAGGCAGGCAGATCACTTGAAGTTAGGAATTCAAGACCTGCCTGGCCAACATGGTGAAACCCCATCTCTAGCAAAAATACAAAAATTAACCAGGCATGGTGGTGCATGCTTGTCATCCCAGCTACTCAGGAGGCTAAGGCATGAGGATCACTTGAACCCAGGATTGCACAACCTGCACTCCAGCCTGGGTAACAAAGTGAGACTCTGTCTCAAGAAAAAAAAAAAACAATGCTATACTGTATTGTCCCTTCTGGGCTAAAAACAAAGTTATAAAGAATCTTGCTTTGTTTTAAAGAGACAGGGTCTCACTCTGTCACCCAGGCTGGAGTGCAGTGGCATATCCATAGCTCACTGAAGCCTCAAATTTCTAGGCTCAAGCAATCCTCCTGCCCCAGCCTCTCACCGGCATTACAGGTGTCCGGAATCCTGATTTATGTATAATTCAAGTCTCCTTACAAATGTATCCTTTTTTTTTCCCTCCCCACAAAATTATTTCTGCTTTTAATCATTTTCTTTTGGAGTCTTTATTCCTCCTTTACTTAAATTATTACTTAATTTCAAGCATCTGCTGAATCACTATATAACATATACCAGATACAGGACACCTTTCATATAGGTTACCTCACTGAATCGTTACAACTTTAAAACAGGTTTAATTATAAAAAATGTTCAGGCCAGGGGCAGTGGCTCATGCCTGTAATCTTAGCACTTTGGGAGGCTAAGGCGGGCAGATCACCTGATGTCAGGAGTTTGAAACCAGCCTGATCAACATGGTGAAACCATGTCTCTACTAAAAATACAAAATTAGCTGGGCTTAGTGGTGCAGGCCTGTAATCCCAGCTACTCAGGAGCCAGAGGCAGGAGAATCACTTGAACCCGGGACGTGGAGGTTGCAGTGAGCCAAGATCACGCCATTGCACTCCAACCTGGATAACAAGACTGAAATTCTGTCTAAAAAAAAAAGAAAAAGAAAATTTTCAAACATATACAAAGTAGAGAGAACAGTATAATAAACCCAATATTCCCTTTCCCAATTTCAAAAGTTATCATCATACTGCCTACTCATTTTCCTCACCCGACCAAAACTAGATTATTTAAAAGCAAATCTCAGACATGGTAATCTCAGAGCTATTCGGTGTATATCTCTAAAACAAAGCCCCTATATTTCCCATAAGGAGAATATTATCAGCCTAAACATCAATTGATAGCAACTTCTTAATATCAAATATCTTATCCATGTTCAAAGTTCTTGATGTCTCAATTAGTTTTGATAGTAACACACTGTGATAAGGTAAGGGAGGCTCACAGATTTAATAACTTTCCACACCATATTCAGTACATATCAAATTTCTCATTTGACACTTTGGTCCTCTTTCTGTACAACTCAGGTGCCTTTTCATAATGTTTAGAAAAACAAACATACATATATATATATATATATATATATATATATATATATATATAGTATGTGTGTGTATCTATATACACACAGACACATACATGTAAAATCTCACAAAAGTGACCTTTTCTTTTTTGAGTACTTCAGTTTCAGCTGAATAACATAAAGGTGTTTCAGTGCCTGGAACCTGAGACAGACTTTTATTAATCATTCACTGCCCAGTATCACAAAATATGTAGAAATATAAGATGCCAAGTATAAGACACCAACTTCTATGGTGCCTGTGGCGTTCCAATATCTACTGTTATCCATACTGGAGCCTCCTCCCAGAATACTGCAGTCCTCATAAAGTGATGACAATGATGATGATAACAACAACAATGGGCTTCTACCAGGGAGAGTCAGGACAGTCCCATGGATGAGTGAAGGATTACTGAGATGTTTACAACAAGCTTTAAACTTTTTAGGAGAAAAACTGTACAGGTCAATCTGGAAAAGTAAATGGGCTGCAAAACTCGATACCCAGCAACTGCTTTTATTTGCATAACTTACACCATGTGAGATAAAAGAAATAAAAATATAAACCATGTTGTCATCACAATCATCTACAAGTTAGTTTCCTAAACATTTTTAAAAGCAGATGTATTTGTAAGGCTCTCCTCTGAAGACACTTTGGGATTTGTTTGTTTTACCAGACTGAGTCTCGCTCTGTCACCCAGGCTGGAATGCAGTGGCATGATCTTGGTTCACTGCAACCTCCACCTCCCAGGTTCAAGTGATTCTCCCGCCTCAGCATTCCGAGTAGCTGGGATTACAGGCGTGCACCGCCACACCTGGCTAATTTTTGTATTTTTGGTAGAGACGGGGTTTCACCATGTTGGCCAGGCTGGTCTCAAACTCCTAAACTCAGGTGATCCGCCAGTCTCAGCCTCCCAAAGAGCTGGTATTACAGTTGTGAGCCACTGCACCCAGCTGACACCTTGGGATTTTTAAAAAACATAACAATGAAATAAAGAGCTATTTGAAAATAATCATTAAAAGTTATAGAACACAAATCAAATAAGAAACAAAACAGATTCCTTTATACTGACCTTCAAAAATATTGTTCTAAGCTCAGCTGGATCTGCTCTCTTGGTTAAAGCCACCTATAAATAAACATAAAAATGTTTATGTTATTACAACAAACCTGAGAAACCAAACTAGCAGACTAAACGAAAATAAATCCCAGGTTAGAAATTAGTGCATTTCATTTCTGTACTTAAAATACCACGTTGCCCCAGTGCATATTATGCCCCCTCCACATTTTAAATCAGACTCTTTATATAGCTTCCAAAATGATAAAATTTTACGCAAGGAAACAGTAGTAAAAGCTCTTAATATCTAATGTTGATCGTGTATCATTTCTTAAAAAGAAGCAAGAAAAGTTGAAACATTGCAAACACCTGGCTTTTTTTTACCTATACTCCAGCATAAACTATGCCCTTTCACAGGAGAATATTAAGTATACTACTATTTGTCAGCTAGGCAAGAGAAGATATTTCTTTTTTTTTTTTTTTTTTTTTGAGACAGAGTCTCTCTCTGACGCCCAGGCTGGAGTGCAGTGGTGTGATCTCGGCTCATTGCAACATCGCCTCCCAGATTCAAGTAATTCTCTTGCCTCAGCCTCCTGAGTAGGTGGGATTGCAGGTATACACTACCACTCCCAGTTAAGTTATATATTTTTAGTAGAGCCAGGATTTCACTATGTCGGCCAGACTGGTCTCAAACTCCTGACCTCAAGTGATCTGCCTACCTCAGCTTCCCAAAGTGCTGGGATTACAGGTATGAGCCGTCATGCCCAGCCAAGAAAAAAAAAAAAAAAAAAATATATATATATATATACACACACACACACACACACACACACACATGCATATATACATATATATATATATATATATATATTTTTTTTTTTTTTTTGAGACAGAGTCTTGCTCAGGCTGGAGTGCAGTGGTGCAATCTCAGCTCACTGCAACCTTACCTTCCAAGTTCAAGCAATTCTCCTGCCTCAGCCTCCCAAGTAGCTGGGATTACAGGTGTATGCCACCACGCCTGGCTAATTTTTGAATTTTTGGCATCTTGGCCAGGCTGGTCTTGAACTCCTGACCTCATGATCCACCTATCTTGGCCTCCCAAAGTGATGGGATTACAGGTGTGAGCCACTGTGCCCCGCCAAGAACATATTTCTCAGCACTTTGGGAGGCCGAGGCAGGTGGATCACGAGGTCAAAAGATCGAAACCATCCTGGCCAACATGGTGAAACCCCGTCTCTACTAAAAATACAAAAACATAGCTGGGCATGGTGGCGAGTGCCTGTAATCCCAGCTACTCAGGAGGCTAAGGCAGGAGAATTGCCTGAACCCTGGAGGTGGAGGTTGCGGTGAGCCGAGATCGCGCCATTGCACTCCAGCCTGGGTAACAAGAGCGAAACTCCGTCTCAAAAAAAATAAATAAAAAAAATTTTTAAATAATAAATAAATAAATAAAAGAAGTCAGTGAACTAGGCAAATCATACTAACTGAAGGGAGTTAACCTCTCAGCTTCACCATGAACAGGCCTGTATACTTCACTACCTGGTTATGCCAAAGAACTTCTCCTCCTCTCCCCAGCTTTTAATTTAATAAATCGGAAGTCTCCAAAGGTATGATATTATTCTACATATTTTAGAAATACAAGGGACTGTGGTTACCTTTCAAGAGCAAAAATTGACAGATTAGCTCAGAATGGGTGTTGTGCTTAATTCTCCAGGCCACAAAGTACAAAAACATCATTGGGGAAAAAGCAAGACAAACTTGAACATGGCTTCCCCAGGCCAACACAAAAGAACCCTTATGTGGAACCAAACAGTGGGCTTATTCAATGTCCCAACACCCAATCCTGCTGGCAAAAACCATCATGAGACTGAGTACTCACCAAGCACAGAGTCACCCCATGATACGGCCAAGGAGAGGTTTCTGGAACCACCCAACACTGGAGCATGTCTCTATCCACAGGGAGACTTATGCAAATTGTCCTAAATCCCTTCTGTGTGCTAGCAAAGGCTGTTCTCAGACCTTTGGACAATGAGTTCTCTGTCTCTAGATATGGAACTGCCTGAGCTCCTAGGCTCTCCACTATCAGGAATAATTTTATTAACTAATCACTACAATGGGAGAAGTAGTCTTTCTGAAACCAGATGTTTGGTCACCTTGCTTCCCAAAGCAAGAATGATAACTCTTCATTTCAGCTGAGGACTTGTAACCACCAAGGCTGTTTCTATTCATAAGAATTTGTAATCCTTTTTTTTGTTTGTTTTTGAGATAGAATTTCACTCTTGTTGCCCAGGCTGGAGTGCAATGGCATGATCTCAGCTCACTGCAACCTCAGTCTCCTCCCAAGTTAAAAAAAATCTGCTTCAACCTCCCAAGTAGCTGGGATTACAGGCATGCACCACCACACTTGGCTAATTTTTTATTTTTAGTAGAGATGGGATTTCACCATGTTGGCCTGGCTGGTCTCCAACTCCTGACCTCAGGTGATTCACCCGCCTCAGACTCCCAAAATGCCGGGATTACAGGCGTGAGCCACTGTGCTTAGCCATGAATATTTAACCTTTTTAAAAATTCAGAATTAGTAAGTGTCCTCTGCTATTCAACAGAGGAGAAGAAAATGGACTGCTAGTCAACCTAAGATGAATGACTCTGCTTCCCTAAAAGCTTCAGAGAGGACTTCCTCCTCTCAGGTCTCTATTCCGAGAAAGGTAGGGTAGGATAAACACAAGAAACGATGGGACAGCATAAAAATGCCTCCGTCCCCCACATTAAGAGCAGAAAAATCCCCTTCTTGATGGAAAGAGTCCCACATCTCATGAAAATGCATAAGTAACACTTTTTAAAAAATATATGGTACCCTAAGTCCTTAACTGTTTTCCTCTCAAAAGCAAAACAAACTTTCCATGAAATGAAGTATTTTTGCTATATCTGAATACCACATCCTTTAAAATCTAATTAATTCTTTATGCCATGAACTTTGTAAGATCTTCCCTGGGCAATGCTATTTCAGAGTAAACTTCCCCTGCTCTAAATTCACATAGCTCATTTCTGCTTAAGGATCCTGAAATGCATATTCAGTGCTCTACATCAGAACTACATCTCAGAGGGCAAAAAAAAAAAAAAAAAAGAGTTCCCTTTGTAACCCTCTCAAGGTCTAGGGCAGGGAACACAAATCAAAACAAAGTCAAAAAACGACCCAACACTTATAAGACATGTCACCTAACACATGACTATTCTCTCATTGGATTCTCACTGCAAATCAGAGTCAGATAGGATGGATATTACTCCCCTAATTTTACAGAAGAGAAAACCAAAGCTTGGAAAGCATCAATTATTACCCCTGAAAATTCAGATTAAGTGCCAATCTGTACTGACATTTCTAAATATTTTCTGAGCTGAGATCAGATCCCAAATATTCCATTTCTTACTGTAGTACCCTTCCTACTGACCCGTATTACATGCCGCTTCAAAGTGATGATAACTCGCATTAACTGGCAGTATAATACAGTCACGCATTGCTTAACAGCAGGGACACATTCCGAAAAATGTGTTGTTAGGTGATTTCATCGTGTGACCCTCCTACAATGTACTTGTACAAACCTAGATGGTATAGCCTACACATACCTAGGCAAATGAGATAGCCTATTGCTCCTAGGCTACAAACCTATACAGCACATTACTGTACTGAATACTACAGGCAACTGCAAAATAATGTGTATCTAAACATAGAAAAGGTATGGTAAAAATATGGTTTTAAAAGATAAAATGGGCCTAAGGACTTAAGATGGCGCTGTGAGAACAACCCAGGATCGGAGCTCGCGTTGAATCCGCAAATGGTGAGTCAGAGCTGCATTTCCAGACTGATCTTTGTTGCCCACAGAACGGGGAAACTCCCAAGTATAAAAAAGACACGGGACACCTGGCAGTAGGTCTGCCAGGCGAAGCCGGCAGCCGGGGCAGTGGCGGCAGGCCGTACCCAGCAATCCCCACAGGGCGCGCTTGTCCGGGTGCCCTGTTGAACCGGCAACCTGAGACTTGAGAGGGCTGGACTTGAGACTGAACGAGACTTGGATAGTAGGCCAGCCCAGGGGATTGCAGGAACAGATTGTTTGGGATACCCAGTGGGACGAACAAAGCCGTGATTTCAAACTATCCCAAGCAGACGGTCCGAGACGCTCTGTGGGGGAGGGGCATCCAACACTACCGAGGCAACCCGCCCCAACTGAGATACACGCCCACTGCTGACGCAGCCAGCCGTGGCCAAGGCAACCTGCCCCAACTGAGATACACGCCCACTGCTGACGCAGCCAGCCGTTGCCGAGGCAACCCGTCCCTACTGAGATACACGCCCACTGCTGACGCAGCCTGCCGTTGCTGAGGCAACACGCTACAACAAAGAGACTCCGCCGCAGGGTATGGCGGAGACCACAGCAGAGCCTGCAGGAACAGGGCGAATCACACAACAGCAGGGCAGAGCCTCGGCAGCCAAACAGTGGCTAGTCTGCCTTCTAGCCGGGCAGGACACCTGATCGGACATCCAAAAATAAAGCCCAAACCCCTCAACACAGAGCATTTGAGAAAAAAAAAAAAGGGTTTTTTAATGAGCTCTGTTGCAGCAGAATCAAACATAGCAGCCTAACAGCCCTGAATGAACAACAGAGCGCACAGCTCAGCAATTAAGTCCCTATAAAGTACAAACTGTCTCCTCAAGCAGCTCCCTGACCCCTCTATATCCAAAAGACTGACATTAGGCAGGCATCATCCTGGGACAAAGATAGCAGAAAAAGAAACTGGTAGCATCCCACGCTGTGCCACAGATGCTAGAGGTGCACCGCAGACAAGCAGGGTCTGGAGTGGACCTCAGCAGTTGTACAGCGAAGGGGTTAGACTGGTAGAAGGAAAACCAAGCAAAAGAAATACTTCATCATCAACACTCTGGGTGTCCACTCAGAGACCCAATCGAAAAGTCAGCAACTACGCAGACGACCAGCGGACAAATCCACAAAGATGGGAAGAAACCAGCGCAAAAAGGAGGAAAACACCCGAAACCAGAACACCTCGCCTCCTAGAAAGGA